CACCCTTTTTCAAATAGAGGCCTGCCATTTTAACAGTAACATGGAGGTACAGCAGCTACTCCAGACATCCTGTAAATAGGAAGGGAGAAAAGAAGAATAGTATTCTTAGAATAAAAAGGAGAATATATTCAGTTAAAAGGTTCAAGTCTTGGAGTGTGATGTTGAGTGCAATACTGACTTCAATTTTTTAATTAAAATAAGGAATCTGTTTTCATCAGTTATAACTCTTCCCTTCTTCAGTTTCTTATGTTGCATCTTTATCCATTGTATTTCTTTTGTCTTCTTTACATTCTACTCCCTTATCTCCTACTTAATCTATTTCTCTTTCCTCTGGCATCAGCTTTACTACCTCTTCTTTCTTCCTGTCATCATCCTTTATCCTCTTCCTACAACCTCCAAAGTCTACACAACATTGAAAGTTTCCCCAATGCCTTCAGTAATCCCTGCCATAGCCAGTTGCCGCTTAAGAATCATTCTTGACACTTGTGAAAATAGATGAAAGCAGAAGCATTTCCTGCCATACGGGCATTTAGACAAACAACAACTGCAAGAAAGTCCTGCCTATTCACTGTAAGCACAAGAACCTTGTTTACAGAAAGCAACAGAGTCCAAAATAGAGTTTCCAATGAATTTGAATTCATCAAGATCCTTATCGCTTGGCTGTAAATCATATTTACTTTGGGAGAGGTACATGATATTGAATTGAGATGAGCCTCCTTTTGTTGCTTTGAAAGCATGCTGAAATAAAAAGTAGATCAACAAGAAACACAGCAAAGATAATGCAAGACGCTATGTTTTCACAAACACGTTTCATGGACTTACGGGCCATGGATCATAATTTGACATGCGTGTGATACGCAGGGATAGACAGAACCCTGTGTGGCTGTGCAGCTCCAGACCTGCAGCGTTTCACACGGCATGACGTGCTCTTCCCTTCTGCCCAGAGGTCATGCAATGGAGGCACATGCCTCACAACCCTATACTGGGAGTGCAAAAGACGAGCTCAAAGGGGCCACTTGAAACAGGAACAGCTCCTTGTCCGTGTTTTGCGGGCTACTGTTATCGAGAAAAATCCCAAGCCACATGCAGCACCACTGAAGTTAATGGGGTATGCCTTGACAAACCAGACTAATGCTCTTCCTTACTCTTTGAGCATTATTCTGCCACCCAACAAATGTCAGTTATTGAGAACAAAAACATACTCTACAACATAATAATTCCACCTCCCAGTCACCTGGTGCTTTGTGTGTAGGAGCTATTGCCTTTGTATTTTCCATTTGAAAAGATGGATCCCTCTGTGATACCTACGTATTTTGGCACATTCTGAAAATGCAGAACCAACAATAACAATAAAAATAAAGTATGCTGTTTTATTTTTAAAGTATCACTCATAGCATGTAACTCAGCTAAAAGCATGTACTCAAAATAGATGCTTGAAGGTACATCTAAAGCACTTAAAAGTACGTAACTTTCTTACTGGCTAGTATGTAAAAAAAAAAAGGAAAGGGAACAACAGTAAAAATAGAAGAAGCTAGGACTTCTGGTACTGAAAAGCAAAATAATCAGCTCTGCTTCTGAAAGTAAGAGATAAACAAGGGGGAACCAAAAGTAGAGGTAACAAAGTTTAGGTATACTTCTGACTCCTACCATATGCAACCACTTCCAAGATCACTTATGATACGAAAAATGCATTGATAGCTAGCCTGATACTTAGCAGGTTGAAGCAGTTTATTTCACTATCACTTCTAATGCAAATGATCTACCAAGATTAAAAGAAAAAAAGACTACATAAATTCACCTACAACTAAATAATCACAAACCAAGTAATTTAAGTAGCTTACGTGAACAGGATCCAAAATTTTGACTGCTGCTTTGCTGCCATTTTTCTTATTTAACACCTTGAAAACTTTTCCATATGTTCCTTTGCCAATAGTCTCAATTATTTCCCAGGTATCTGAAGGATCAGGAAAGCTATCAAATATTATTGTTTTCCCAGTCAACGGAAGCATCTCAAATGATGGCTCCTAGGAAAAAGAGATTTCAATGTTCACTCAACAAATGGTTAATAGCAATTGGTTTCCTACAAATGCGAAGAGAAATACACACTCCAGTCTCAAACACTAGAAATGTTTTTGCATGTAGTGTGCATGCACTGAAAGCATAATGAACAAGAAATGCTGCACTTAATACAGGTACGTGCAGTCAACACAATATCAAATGAAGGGGAATTCAAATAATAATTTGAACTCATTTCAGGCTTGAGTGAAGTCAGTAGAAGCTTTCCCATGCACTTCAATGAAACTATAATGTCACTCTGGGATTTTTTGAGGGGCAGGGGAATGGCAGTCCAGTTCATAAAATCCAAAAGAATTTGGCTCCATTACTAAGAATCAGGCAAGAAGGTGAAAAAAACCCCCCAAAACAAAACATGTTACATAATAGCATTAGGTTCATTCAAACTTTTACAGCAAATGATCATTTTTCTAATCCTACTCTTACCATTTGAATTTTTATATAGATCTCATAAGGCCAAGCAGATCAAAGTGGCAGATCTTTTCACAATATTATGGTCTTCTGACAGCCAAGCATTCACAGTCATGGGAAACGTGTTTACTGATGTACGTTCATTAACAACTGTTTTACCTACTGTAAAGAAAACACCTTTTACAATGATGGAATTGTATCCATCACTGACCAGGTTATACCTATGCCCTGGTCAATGATGGATACAATTCACTTATACATGCCTTCATAGTGACTAACTATCCAGCAGCTACAGCGGTAAAAATAAAGCACACACCACCCCCCCAGACAAACAACAACAAAACAGAAACCCCACCTTTACCCATTGTTAAGAACAGCCAAAAACTCAGTAGAAATGTGTTAAAAATTACATTCTCGTATTCTTAATTGTAGAGCCAAGACTGAAAAAGAGAAGGGGCAGGGAAGAGGACAGACTCAAGCCCTTACTAAGTAAGCAAGCAATAAATAAGTGAGCCAGCTACTGAGTGCTTAAGTCCTTCCTGAGCACAATATGCAGTAAGCAAGCCAGGTTTGGAGAGTAATTTTCATATACCCATTTTTCAAATTTTTATATAATACTTTATAAACAGACTACAATGTAATAATTCTTGGATTTTTTTATGTCAACAGCACAAATCTACACACATAAAGCATTTTATATATTACTCCAGTGACAGAAATTGCACCGTGATACCACACTACTTTTTTTGATAATGAAGAGAATGGCTTCAATTTCAGTTTCATCCATGGCTTCCAGCATACTAGACACTTTCTTTATTCATCTGCTTATTCATATAACCATGTATTTCCCACTACACATGCAGCATATATATCCACTATACATACAGCATGTATACCACCTAGAAGCAACTGAAATGGACTGCTATACAAACACACGTTGTACCAGCTCTTTCAATTATCTGATATGCATACTGGCACGTCACGTGTGTTCAGACTAATTTTCTACTGGATAATACAAGCTCGTCTGGGGAACACAGGGCTCAGGATTCTTCCCATCATTCTGTTCTTGGTTGATTAGCTCACTGATGAGTGAGAAGACAGGGTTTTCTTCTCTCTCTCCTCCCCCTGCCCCCTTTTTTTAATATATACATGACTATTACCAACTTCTATACCCGTTTATGCAGCAAAGTAGTAAAATACCATCTCAACACCAGGAAACCTGCAGCAGTCTGTTGCATACCGAGGACTGCAACCAGTACTGGCCCAGCACCTTGATTTCAAGGGCTGTGGGAACAAAATGACCCAATTTTATCTGCTACAATGAAATCTCCCTTCACACAAATCCAGGATAAGGTCAAAGTAAAGATAGAGGATCAAGTTCCAGAGACATGTAGCTGTAATACATAAATCCTCAAATTTCCATTCCAGATTCAAAATTTGCTTTTTCCTTCCGTCCAGCCCTCCCCCTGGGATTCATATAGACACAACTTGGACATTGACTGCAGTCTCTTCCTAAGGCATTACCTTTCCACCTCATGCCTAGTATTTATCCATGCCTTGGGAGCTTCACCATGTCCAGGCAAAGCCATGTCTTCCCCAGAAAATGAACACAAATGAGATACAACTTTTTTTTTGGAACTTGCTTTTTCTTTTGCCTTTAAAATAGTGCTCAAATACAATCGTTCTGGATTTTTTTAAAAATCATTTTATACATATATATAAATGCTTTGTAATTAGCTCATAATTGGGACTACACAAAATAATAACCAAATTGGGGATGATAAAGGGATTAGGATTCATAATCCCAAACCCCTGCTTTGAGGGATTCAACAATGATGGAATTTCAAAATTTCTCTATCTGAACTTTAGTTTTTAGAATTGAGGTTAACTATTTATTTAAAGTTTTACCGGATACTCAATCCATAACTAGTGATTTTTTGGGAGAAATAAAAAGTAGAGAGCTATCAATGGGCGCCTTCATAAGAACTGAGATGTCCAAATCATATTGGAGCCTGTCTACATACGAGTTATTTTCTACAGAATATGTAGTTTTCCATCAAAATCTAGGGCCTGCTATGTCCCACGTTACAAGAATACACAGTAAGAGCCTCTGACCCAGGCAGCTTACAGTAGGAGATACGCAGAAGTGGAAGAAAGAAAGACTCATTTCCTCCCCTTCAAAGACGAGTAGTTAAGATGCAGGAATGCAAAGACCAGCTTCACATATTTAGCCCATGCCAGGGCCAAGCAGGGAACTCTGATACCTTGAATCTCCAAATATACCCTTAAGCAAAGGTCCACGCCTCTGCACAGAGGTTTTACAGCAAGTAGAACATTCTAAGAAAAACCACGTACATCAAAACCTGCAGCTTCAGACAGCTTCCCAGGCTTCATTAACTTCCTGTACATTAACAGAATGAAATTCATTGACCCCCAGTATCAATTGCGGAGACTGGTACAAGGAGAACTGTTAAAGGGCTGAGGAAACATGATCCTGCAGGTGCTATTTGGCTACCAGAGAAGAGTGCTAGAGACACTGTCATATGCTTGCATTTTCCTCTGCAAATCACACCAGTTGCACATTATCTTAAGAAAAGTCACCACATACGCAACAATAATGCATTCAATAGCTGTCATACTTCGTTCGCTATTTAAGTGCTATTCCAGAAAGAATTGTTCACCCTAATCCTTTGTCTTTTGATTTACAGCTTCAAAATCATACCTTGAATAAGTTATATTGAACATCATATTTCCTCACTTCCACCATGTTTAAGAACAAGCCCCTGCAGACAAATTGTTTAGCTTCCACTTCTATTATTAAAAATATATTAAATAGAATGATTTCAAGTGTTCTGTTCTGGGTGATGAATAATGTTTCATTACATCTCAGTGAAGTTGAGAAAGCTGATAGTGATTTAACCTCATATTTCAGCAATAAATTGGACTGTCTCTGGAATACGTCCGGATGCCCGAACAACTGGGTAATTTATCATACCCCTCACCATTAAAAATTTACTTTAAAAAACACAACTTACAACTTGATCCAAAGTTCTGAGCTAGGAATGTACCCTTGAACCTCTATAGAAACCCTTTAAAATATTTCTGGTGTGCTCAGCGTGACAGTTCACTCAACTTCTGCTCAGATTTTGGCTAACCTGGCTCCTGCTAAGGCCTGATGTATGCTGGGACCAGCACCATTAGGTCAAAGTGAGAGCACCACATAGGGAGGACAGGTGGCCAGAAAGACCTAAAGGGCCATTATGCACCATTATCGCCTGCAAATCACTGTCTCCTGCAGCCAGTATCTTTTGTCTGGCAGTTTCCTCAGAATCTGCTAACTTATGGAAATTATGTAGGCCAAACCTCCAAGCTGTAAGGTATAAAGCATCAGCTTACCCAAAAAGCTTTTGAAGCAGATCCAACAGCAGCTGGACTGCTGAGGCTTTCCTGCTTCCCGGTGTGATATAGGGGACGCCGGCACAGTGACAGAGGAGAAAGGATGAGCACTCTCACCCTCGGCTAGGTAACTTTTTTTTTTTTTTGCTCATAGGTGCCCGAATTAAGAGTTATGGGTTATAAGTTATGAAACTTATGACTTGAACGGTGAATAAGTGAATTTACCTGATAGACTAATCAGGGCAAAAGGGGATTGAGCCCCTGTTTGTCGTGTTTGTTTGTTGTATTTCTTAATGAGCTCATGAAATAAAGTTTATATCGCAGAGTACGTTGTCCTATAAATTTGAGAGATTCAAACGGACCGTGACACTTACAGTGATTAAATTCAGGGTATTCGGGGCAGGAAAAAATAGTTTTGGAGTTCCAAGACAACAAGCCACTGTGGTTGGATTTTTTGGTTTGTGGGTTGTTTTTTTTTCCTCTTAGAGGGGGATCTGGTGTCAGTGATCTGGCTGTCACAGTTAAGAATAAATTGGGTGAGAATTCTTATGAGCCAGCCCTCTGCGATTTTTTGCTTCCTAGGTCACATCAAACATACACACCCTATATGCAGCAGACCTCAGGTCACATGCTAGAGGTACCAGGAGATGCCCTGCTCAGCATCGATGCTGGCAGATCACCGCATTCTCTATCATTTTCAGTATCTAGCTAGTTTGGAGAGGGAAGGGGAAGGGAAAGGAAGGGGCAGCCTCATGAAGAACATAGTGTATCTCCTGTGGACTATCTGATTGCTGCAAAGGCAATTCAATGAAGCACATTTATGACACCCAAAACTTAAGATACATACCAATTGCACTGTCAAGAGCTTTATGGTCAAGGCCACGGAGTGTTACAGACAATAGAGTCAAGTGGGAATAAGCAATAGGTTTTGCTTCTGCAGGCTAGGTTGCAAGCACAATGGAGCCTGAATTTCACATAGAATATTACATGTTAATTCAATATTTTTACTACTGTTTCATACCACCTAAGTTTGCAACTCCTTTCTAAACCTTCCCCACCACAATGGTTTCTGAATGGACCTCCATCTCACTTGGATGAAAGCGTATCCATATCCTCCATAAGGAGCTGATAA